CCTACCACAACGCCCATCTATTTTTTTGTTGTAGTTGCCATTGTTGTTTGGCAGGCCCGGGCTGGGTTTGAACCCGCCAGCCTTGGTGTATGTGGCCGGCACCCTACCCACTGAGCCACGGGTGCCGAGCCATAATTGCAATTTTTAGAAAGACTGACAAATTATCTTCCAGAGTTACTGGCTGCACATTCTTACTAGCAATGTATAGATGAACCAGTCTTCACATTCTTGCCCACGTTTAGTAATATTTTTTTTAATTTTATTTGCTGTTTATACTTACTTATTTTTATTTTAATTATTCTGACCAGAGGTATAATGAGATCTCATTGGTGCTTTAGTTTGCATTTCTAATGGCTACTGACACTGAACATCATTTCATGTGCTTATTTGACATCTGTATATCCCTTTGAGTTAAATATTTCTTCATATCGTTTGCCTATTTTCTAACTGGATTTTATTTTACTGTCGAGTTTTGAGTCTTATTTATGTACTCTAAATATTAGTCTTTCCTATGAATTACATTTATCTAAAAAATCATAAATAAGACTAGAACAGAAATACAACGTTTCCAAAAATATTATGGCACTAAAGAAAAATTTCAACTAAAATTCAAAATAGGAAAACAAGAAAAACCATTTTAAAGCAATTATAATAAACAAAACAGATCATGATAAATAAAAATTGATGTTTTAAAATCAATTAAAATGATAGTTTGCCAAGTGCAAATCAATTAAATTACTCTAATGAAGTCATACTTGGGATATTCTCACTACCAAACCCAGATTTGTGTCATGAAACAATCAAAGACAAAAGAAAATTTTTCTATCTAATAGTTGATTCCTTACAGTCTAACAATTTAGTTCCTGGGCACATTTAATACTAGACAGAGAAACCAGATAACAAAGTTAATCTACACCTAGATAATCAGACCCAATAATGAAAGTGTTCATTTTGGATATCCATGTGGAGCTCTTTCAAGAGAATGTATTTGTTCATTTCTCTCTTGCATGTAGCACATTTAATAAATAAAAAGTGCTCAATGACATAATCAGGCCAATTACCATAATAGTAAAAACAGTCTAAGTTCTATTTTATATAAACATAAAACATAAAGCAAAACATAAAACGTCCATTAAAACAACTTGCAGGTAAGAAGTATATGATCATACTTGAACACGAGGCTGTGTTCTAGTAAAGGAACACTAAGCTGAGAACCAGAATGGGAAGATTTAACTTTCAAGTCTTTCATTCACTTGAAAAATTATTATATACATATTTTTTGAGACAGAGTCTCACTATGTCACCCTTGATAGAGTGCTGTGGTGTCTTGGGCTTAGGCAATTCTCTTGCCTCAGCCTCCCAAGTTGCTGGGACTATAGGCGCCCACCACAACATCTGGCTATTTTTTGGTTGCAGTTGTCATTATTGTTTTTGCTGGCCCAGGCCGGGCTCAGACCCGCCAGCTTCAGTGTATGTGACCAGCACCCTACTCACAGAGCTACGGGTGCCGAGCCATCATTTGAAAAATTAGAGGAATATATGATCACAAAGAAAACAGGGGAAAGAAAAACCAAAGCATTCTAAAACAAACTGCGTTGTTCAATGATGTCAAATTTTTATGTTTTACTATTTTATCAACATATCCTAACTACCAACCCCCAAAAACCTGTTCTTAACCCCACTTCTATTTCCTCCCCTTTACTCTTAAACACAATACGATTTTAGAGAACAAGTCAAAGTTAAAAAAGGAAGAAATGGTTAGGGTTTATTAAAAAGTGAAAAAATACTATGAAACAGCAAAAAGCTCTTGTAAAGAAAGTATACGCTGGTCATCTGAAATTCATATTCCCAAAACTAATGTTCCTTTTATATCTTTTCAAGAAAGCTCCTTATAGTGCTTTTTCACTGTCCTTTCAACTTTTTAAATTTCTCCCACAGTTACTGCATTAGATTATCAATCTTGACAATTAAATCCAATATCTGCAATTAAGGGCATATTTTATGAACTGTAAAGCAAATCATGAAAAGTTGTCCATACCTTGCACTTTCTCTGCTGCCCAGTACTTCCCTGCAGTCTCCAGAATCCAGGCTTCATTCCTATCAGCTATCAGGAAACTGTTGTGATAGGTGAAAATCATCCCACCCTCTGTACAATTTCCACCCTGGCCATATTTTTCTAATAAATCAACAATGACATTGAGGGCTTTTTCAGCTGTATCAGCTCTTTCAAGGCCAAGTCTAAAATAAAATATTAAAGTTCTCGGATTAAAATACATTTCTATTATTTTTCTTAACTAATTTCATGCTCATGAGATTTAGCATTTATATTCAGGGTAAAAATTCTTTCAAGTTGACAGGTAAAGTCAAATCTAACTTTTAAACTTTTCCTCCTGAAGTCAGTTTAGAATCATGAAAACAAAGTTTCCAGAGTCAGACAGATCTACGTGCAAATTCCAATTTGGTAACTTATTGGCAAATTACTTAATCTCTGAACCTCAGGTGTCTGATTTGTAAAATAAGCATAATAACTCATGAAGTTATTGTGCGAATTAGCTAAAGTATGATAAAGTACATTGGGTACTTCAATGAATCAGCATTTCCAGCTCCTTCCCTTTTCCTAATTAATAATAACTAACAGTCACGAAACTGCATGGTGGTACTCTGAGGCATTTCTGACACAAAGTTTAAGGGATCAGAGTAAAAAAAAAAAAAAAGACAAAGAAAAAATAACAAAACAGGTAAGAGGAGTTACATCAAAATTTAAAATTTAGACAAGTTCTATAGAACAAAACATAACAAAAATAACCTGACAAGGTCCATCCCCAGTAGTGCGTCTTCATCACAGACTTTTTCTCTTCCCCATACAGCTTCATTCCCAATGCAAACTCCATGCTCATTGGCTCCCATTTCTGCTCCCCACAACCATGCTGGGCGACTAAGGACAACAGCATATGTTTCAGGAACTTGCTCAATTTCTATGTAAGTACACTGTTAAAAAAAAAAAAAGTCACTGCAAGAACCACAAAAGCATAAAAGTTATCAAAATCCAGAATTTGACAAATCAATGAGAAGACACAGTCATCATGAAAGAGGTAAGTGAAATATAACTTAATACAAATTTTCACTAGTAAAGGTGTTATCCTTAAACTATTGAGAATTGGTGCTTTGCAGAGCATCTATTATAAAGTACTCAGTCAAGAGATATGTTAGTTGCAGAGATGAATCCATACAGATCTTGCTTTCAAGAAACTAAGACTTGTACACATTAACTAAGATACAACAAAATATAAAGTATAAGGGCCATGAAATGACATAAAGACAGAGTGATAAAGAAGCTCAAGAGAGAGACGGTTTCTAGTTGTGACATCCTGAAACATTTTTGTTGTTCAGGAAGCAGTTCCCAACAGCAATGTCCAGCAATGTACATTAGTGATGTAAGTACCCATCACTTACATGGGTACTTAAATGTAACCATAGAATCCATTACATGTAGCCTTAAATGTAACCATAGAATCCCTTCTCATGTGTCAAAGTCATCTATTAGGTATGATCACAGCAATTAAAAGTAAGAGAACCTTTGGTTTATAGGATACGCTATATTTAAATATAAAGAGTTAACGTGAAAATGATATCCCAGATGAATAAATGATCTCAGCAAAAGAAAAAATATGGCACAGTATATAGAAAAAACTAATCTTCATATTTTTTTTAACTGTAGAATTATCTTTTTATTTTGGGTGAAAACCCACAGTAATTTTGGGGGGCTGTAATTAAGATTTAACAGCACTATAATTCTAACAAATAACTTAATTATCCTCTTGAGATAAATATAATAATATTTTATAGATATTTTGGAACCCCAGTATTAAGACTACAAATACAAACTAGCCTACATCTATCACCAATGACTCATACCATTTCTTTCTAATGAATTGACCATTACATTTCCAAAGTTCTGAAATAGCCTCTGACCATAGAAAGATAATTCTTTAGGCGCCTGCTTGAAATCAACAGCTTCAGCAAACTGGGGACCTTGATTCAGGGCCAACAATATTCATATATTTTAATATTAGAACATCAACAACATAAATCTGAAAGCATTAACTAGCAACAAACTCTCACTTTAAGTTTCATGTTAAATGGGTTGTTTAAATTAATTTTTAAGATTCTTTAATTAATGTGTAGAGTACCAAGTGATTGCATAAAATGAATTTGATAGTTATCACAGGGCCTAATAAACCTTTTTGATGTGTCATAAAATTCTTATTCCCAGAATCTGGAATGACTTTCCTATTCTACATCAGCACCTATACCAATTAAGAATCAGAATCCTTTTTGTCCATCAAACTCTAGCTAAGCTAACCCCAATTCCCACGAAGCCTTCCTTAATCCCCAGTTTGAATTAAATGTTCCTTCTCTGTTGCTATAGCATGCTGCTCTTACTTAAATTTAGTATTTAAACCATCCTACTTTATAACAAATTCAGGACAGAAATCCCTAACAATCCCTCGGGATATCCTAATCCCTAGGATACATTGTCCTAGTCCAAGAGTCTAAGCTCCTGGAAGATCAAGTCTTAACAGGTGACTTTAAATCCCTTGCTCTATCATGCTTGTATTCAAATATTTGATCCAAGAATGAACACTTTTTATTATTGTTCTTTCAACTTCCTCCAATTCATTTAAAATAAAAGATCAAAAAAGTTTATTTCTAACTCAAATTATTTTTCAAATTTAAATTCTTGAATTGTAATGTCAGTAGTCTCTGCCAAATTGCTGACAGAAACAATGTTTACGATATTTCTTTAAAAAGTATATTCCTAACAAAACATGTTTTTCACTTACCTTAAGATGTTTTTCCAGGTTATCATGAACTGCAGCAGGAAAGTAAACTACCTCTTGCACTTCATCACAGAGTCTATCTGAATTTTTTCCAAAAATAATCCTGTTATCAACTGTTGTTGGAGGCAATGCCACGAACGTGTCACAGGAAAAAGGTTCCATTACTTTTAAGCTAAAAATTGTGCAGAAGTTTTAAAGTAAAAAGAGAAAGCATTTTTTAGTATATTAAAAACCAAGAGCTTTACTCAATGACCAAGAGATATCATTTCCATTATCTAATTAAGGATGTTCATTGAAGTTTTAAATTTCATATGCTGTAGTATAAAAATAACATGACTTGGGACTCAATTTTGTATTATAAGAATCAATAAGAAAATGGCAATGAGAACTACCTTCTTCTATAGTTCAATTTTATTCTCTAAGACCTTTCTGTCCTGAATTCCTTTCCCTGAATTTCCTTTTACTATTTGCATATCTGGGGATCCTTGTATGTAGCTCTAATGTTGTAAAGTGTATATTTAGCTATATGGACAATGAGATCCTCGAGGGCTGGGAGTATGTCTGATTATTAATCTTTGTATTCTCATTGCTGGATCTTGTCTTGTGTACCCAGTAGAATTTCCTCAAAGGAAGGAAGAAGGGAGGGTCTCCTTTGAGCTGGGGAAGCATACACACAGATCATGACACTTAAGACTAAATTTTGAAACAGACTCATTTTGTACTCTGAAAAATATGAATTTCCAAGAGGAAATTCACATATATAATTTAAAATACTAATTGTATAATTTAACA